CAGAATTTTTTATTCTGAGGCGCCTGTCTTGGGTCAAGCCCCTGTTGTCTGGGGCACACCTGGAGTCAGTTATCCATGCATTTGTCCTATCCTGACTGGGCTACTGCAGTACCTCTTATACCGGTCTGAGTCAGGGCACGGTAGTCTGACTCCAGCTCGTCCAGAACTCAGCTGCAAGATTTCTGGCCAGCTCTAGACACCAGGAACATATCGCTCTGGTGCTGGAGAATTCACACTGGATCCCGGTGCAAAAGAGCAACATTTAAGATCCTCTTACTTGTGTACAGGGCTCTTCAAGGCACTGCTCCCTCCCATCTGTCAGTACTACTGCACACGTCCCATCTTAGTCTTCTCACTCAGCTCAGTGGGAGCAGTTGGTGGTCCCCCGCTCCAAACACAGATTGAAGGGGGATCATGCGTTCTCGGTTCTGGTCTGGAACGAGTTGCCTTTGAGTGGTAGGCAGGCGCCATTGCTTCTGGTACTCTCCTGAAAAATCATTTTTATGTGATGGCGTTTCAGCATTAGGGATCACTAGATTGCCTTGATTTTTTTATTGTTTCTAATCTTGTTTAACATGTTTTCATGATCGTTTCCTGTTTTTATTATTGTGTTTTTTTTTCTCTGACACTATATATTTGTTCTTATCGTATGTTTTGTGGTTGTGTTCAGCACCTTAGTCTGCTGATAAGATTGTGAAAGGTGTTTTATAAATAAATAAACTTAAATAAACTAAAACTGGCTTGGCTCATGACGGGGAAGCCTGTTGTTGGTTTAGCGTCCAGGAAACAGCATAGAGTGTCTCGACTAGTAGAAGCTAACTGTTAGCATTAGCAACTCCGCCACAGGACAGAACGCCTTCAGGCTTGTGTCATTTGTGGATATTTTACGACAGGGGGACGGTGGCGCAGGAGTTGAGTGCTCGCCCCATAATCAGAAGGCTGCAGGTTCGAGCCCCGCTTGGTCTGTTGCTGTCGTTGTGTCCTTGGGCAAGACACTTAACCCACCTTGCCTACTGGTAGTGGTCAGAGGGACCAGTGGGGCCTGTGCACGGCAGACTCACCTTCGGGGCAGCTGTAGCCACGATGTAGCTCATCTCCACTAGGGTGTGAATGTGTGTGTGAATGGGTGAATGACTGTGCTGTAAAGCACCTTGGGGGGTTCCAGGACTCTAGAAGGCACTATATCAGTTTAAAAAAGTTTTAATCAACATTGCAATGCAAACAGTCAGTGGTAGAGTTGTGTTGCTGTTAGCCAAGATGTCCGGGGCAAGATGTCCAATTACCAAGAAATAAGACTCCAGAACCTTCTGGAGATACTTTCTCCTCCAGCTCACTTCTACATTCTCAAACAGGCGCATCTAACATCTTTTGTCCATACAATGACTTACAAATGATTCAATCTGACTAGAACAACTGCAAATGAATTAAAGAGATACTTTGTAGACTCTATTAAAACCTGGATGGCTGGGAGCTTTCTACAGCTGAATGAAGATAAGACTGAGATCCTCATTTGTGCCCCAGACAAGCTGGTCCCCAAAGTCAGAGACTCTCTTGAGCCCCCTTCAGACAGGCCATGAAAAAAGGAAATGTTCCAGACTCTGTCAGTAAGACCTTTGTGTCTGAATACAAACATCCGGATAACGTGTTCCGGAATTTAACCGGACGAAGCCCCTAGTAACAGGTCCGGACTTGTTACGGACAGGGTGGCTGCTTCAGACTGGTGAGGTAGAGTTCCGGACAAGGGGAAGGGGAGGAGGAGGGGACCGGGGGACGCTGTGCGCACCTAGATAGCTCACTCCTATAGCATGCGGCGAACCACGGCAGCTCGCCTCCTATGGTACCGCCTAGACACGCGACGGAGCGCTTCACAACGCTTCAGTGATTCCTTTAACCATTGAGCTTCATCATGCAGGTCTCTAATGCGTCTTCATGTGCGCAAAATTATGCTTAAGCGCCTCGTGATTTTTATCTTGAGAGGCGCTATAGAAATGATATTTTCTTCTTCTTAGCATAAGCCCCCCCCCCCCCCCACCGACGTCAGACATCTGGAACTTTTCCCTGCTGTGTGAACGCAGCCGAAAGGACAAGTTCCGGTACAAAAGTGGTGTGTCTGAAAACACAGTTCCGGTTAAAAACTGGATTGACTTGTCCGCAAATGTTCCAGAATGTCTATCTGAAAAGGGCTTTGGTCAGCTTGCTTCTTACACTAAACCTTCCATCAGGAATCTTTGCATGACCTTTGACCCAGCTCTCACCCTGGATTCTCATGTCAGTTCTCTTGTTCGCTCTTCCTTCTTCCATCTCAGGAAAATTGCTAAGCTGAGTCCCATTCTGTCCCGCTCTGAACTTGAGACAGTTCTCCACACCTTCATCTCCTCACACGTAGACAACTGTAACTCTCTTTTCACGTGTCTGAGCAGAACCTCCCTGAACCGTCTACAGGTGGTTTAGAATGCCTGTGCTCGGCTTCTGACCAAGTCCTCCAAACACACCCACATCACCCCGCTTCTCCTCCAGCTTCACTGGCTGCCAGTCAACTTCAGGGTTCATTTCAAGATCCTGGTTCTGGTCTATAGGGCCTTACATGGACAAGCACCATCTTACATTGGGGATCTTCTTAGTCCCTACACCCCCACCAGGTCCCTGAGGTCCAGTGATACACCCCCACCAGGTCCCTGAGGTCCAGTGATCAAAGCCTACTGGTTGTGCAGCACCAGGCTAAAGACCAAAGGTGACAGATCATTTGCTGCTGTGGCCCCCAGACTCTGGAACTCTCTCCCCCTGAACCTGAGATCCGTGGACTCAGTGGTCTCCTTTAAAAAAACTGCTAAAAACTCACTTGTTCAAACTGGCTTTTGTATGACCTTCTTCACCACTCTCTCTCTATTCTGCTCTCCCCACCTATTCCACCTTCCTCAGGATCCACTAGTCACTCTCTCTCTTTCTTAACATTTTTTGTTTTTGTGAAGCGCCTCGTGATTTTTATCTTGAGAGGCACTATGGAAATGATATTTTCTTCATCTTCTTCTTCTTTGTAACTTTTTCATATATTTAAATAATTTTCTTAAGCCAGTATGTGCTAAAATGACCCTTTACAGTGTTAATGAAAGGCCACCCATCCCCATCACCCCCTGTAGCCAGAATATCACACTCCCAACATCACAGTTGCCGGTCTGGTTTGTTGGGACTTAGAAAAAATTGAGCTGACCTACCTGGCACTGTCTGGCTTCAGCATGTTTCCTGCATGTTTTAGATCATGAACACAGCTGATTTGTTTAATTTAGTGATGAATCATTTCTCTAGACACTTAGAAACACTTGGAAACATTTCAGCTGTTAGATTAAGGTGTTAAAAAGACGAACACACAGAGAATAGACACTAAGGGGGTGCTAAAAGCAAGCAAAACCGCCTCGTAGCCCTTTAAAAATATGAGTGAACTTGATCTTTAAGAATCTGTTCTTCATCCTTCTTTGGATTTTGATGCCACTGAACCCTCTCCCTGGAGAAAACAGCCTTGTCTGCTGGTGGTGGTCAAAAGCCACCTGCTTCTGAAGCCCACCGCCATCTTTTTTGTTTGTTTGTTTTTATCACATTAGTGTTTATGTTGTTGTTGTTTTCATCCATCAGTAAGCAAACTCCTTTACTTCCCATCAATGCAGAGACAGGTTGTTGTTGGAATCAGACTGAGAACAACAGTCTCACCTACAAACTTCTCAGTCTGGTTGCTAGGATACCGTGCAGAACAATATATGAGTAAACAAGAAAGGGCTTGATACACATTCCTGTGGAGAACCAGCGTTGTGCACAGTGATGGACAACAAGGGTCTGGGGGACGTTGAAGCCCAGCTGCACAGTGAAGGTTTTAGTCAGTTTTTGACATGTGCCTGAAGAATGATGATGTCACACGCAGAAAAGAGCGATCTGACTCATGCGTCAGACATAGAGCTGACATGCTCCGATAGCTGAAACATCCTCAGTCTGTTTAGAGGATCAATAGAAGCACATTCTTCTGCGTTATAGGATATTAAATAAAATGACTAGGAATAGGGATCTAATCTAATCTAATCTAATCTGCTTTGCCTTATAAATGATTAATGATTAATGACCCGCACTTGTATAGCGCCTTTGAGAGTAAGGACTCCAAAGCGCTTTACACTACAGTGTATCATTCACACATTCACACTCACATTCACACCCTGATGGTGAGGAGCTACGATGTAGCCACAGCTGCCCTGGGACGCACCGACAGAGGCGAGGCTGCCGAGCACAGGCGCCACCGGTCCCTCTGACCACCACCAGCAGGCAAGTTGGGTTAAATGTCTTGCCCAAGGACACAACAGCAAAATTCTCTGTCCGGAGACGGGATCGAACCTGCAACCTTCCAATTACTTACGCCCTGGATCAGACATATGTTGTACTGCAATTGAAATGAAAAGTAATGATGGGTGTTTCGACCACGCCTATTAACGTACTTCATCAGCTTGTAAAGGTTCGTAATTAGCATGATTACACATCAGTACATCATATATGTGACGCTGTCATATCATCAGCCAGATTCATGTGGTTCTTTCCTCCTGAAGGAAGGATTTGAAGTTTGCTGAACTTACAGCCATTTTACCTCTGCTTCTTTCCATGTCCATGTTCGATGATGTCACTTTGATGATGCATATTTGTAGTCCTGGATTTATTTTCACTGAAAACCTAAATTAACGAAAAAAAGCTCATTCTTAGCATCAAAATGTGTCATTAAAATTCATGGACATCATACGTGAAATTCATGGCACATAACAAACGGGATTAGAAAATAGCATTTTAACCCCATTGACTTAATTTTTTCGTTCTTCCAGGGACCCATGGTCCGCAAGGCATGGTTTAAGCTCCCTATCAGGGCAAACATGGATAGATGTCAGAAGTTTGTGATGTTTTACCCAGGTTTTTTTTTCTTTTGGTCACAAGAAAAAAAAAAACAGCAATAAACTGTTTTTCTTTTTTTTCTCTAGGTGGCCTCTGAGTCAGAGCACTGTATAATAAAGCGTGAACATGAGAAATGCATGGACATGATGGCCATGCACAGCCCAGATGGTGCTGATTACGGTAAGTGAGGATAAGGGAATGCACACATGTTCCTGCATGCTTCTGTGTGCATTTGATTTTAATCCACCGCTTTCCATGATTTTTGAAGATTAACCTTGTTCACATCTAGAAAAGCTCATAAGGAACAGAGATAAAAGGTGTTCATCTGACTTTTTTCTTATAGAATTAGATCTGGCTGGTTTATTTGGGTCATTTTTTATTTTATAAAATTTTGTTAAAGAGGTCAAAAAAGACCATCCGAAGATGAAATATGGTTGTGCTTTTATTACGAGCCAATCCTGGCAGCTAAACAGAAAACGCTCTCCTCTAGTCATCAACAAAAGGCAAATGTTTTGCCTGTAATGTCACACTGGGCTGCTTTCACAATTTTTTGCAGCATCACCTTTTTTTTTTAAACACGGGAATCTTGTTATTTGGTTCCTGGAAGCAATTATTTTCTTGGCCATGGATTGTGGTTTTCATTAGCGTCTGCTGCAGGTCTCCTGCTGCTTGAAATTTGTCAGACTGCAACTTCCAAATGTCTCTGTGACTCACCGCTTTTCCAACAGTCTCCAGAACCTTGATGGAGGTAAATAAATAAGGGGGGGGGGGGGGGGGGTGATTTAAAACCTCATATAACACGTTTATGAAGCAGAGTAGCTGAAAGTGCAGCTCATTTTTCAATTTGACTTTTAAAGGTTGACCTTCAAGTCTTCCTATTGGGAACAAAAAGCTGCATAGTTAGTGAGAGTGTTTATGTGCTCCGTTGTGGCCTGATGCTCTGTAAAATGTTCAAATAAAAGAAACCGTGATCCCTTGACTCCTTTATAACAAGAGCAGTTTATTTTTATGTCTATTCTCAGGCCACAGACGCATATTAGTCAGGTTTGACCCTTTACGCGATCCCTGTCTCCTCCCGTCCCTTTAAAGATGCCATTGTGCTCTACCTGCTGACAGGAAATCGTTGGAGAGAAAATAAAAGAGCCTGGTTTGCAGAAACTGGATGTGCAGGCTTGAGAAGAAGAGATAAGAAACACAAATGGTAAATGGGGGAGTGAGGGAAAATCAGCAAGGAGATATGAAAATCTTATTTAAAGGGGTCATATCATGGAAAATGAACTTTTTGGAGCTTTTTAGCATGGGAAACTGCCCCAAACCCATTTTGGGATGCATTCGTGCATTTTCCCAGCCTGGCCTGCTAGAGTCGCCCTCTGTTTGTTCTACAAAGAGGACAAGTCTGGGTACTCAAAGGCAGAGAGAGAATGAGGGGCAGGACTAGCCAGCTCAAAAGTGACAAATCACAAAAAAGGCGGAAATGACGACTATCGCACAATGCTGTAGTTTTATGGCTGTAGTCAAAGATGGCGTCTGGTGACGGCGCATCTATCTTTCTTTAGAAAAAAGTCTTTTAGCGCTTCTTCTTGTTGTGGTTTTAGACGCATACACAAGTCATTTAGAGCCGAGGAAAGAGCTGCAGCAAACTCTGCTTTCAGGCGCCATCTTTGATGTTTATGAGAAACTGAGCGTCGCAGTGTGTGACGTACACTGCTCAGCGCTGATTGGCTCGATTAGAAATCTTAGGGGTTGGGGTTATTTCAATGGGAGAATTTCCAGGCCCATTACTTCCCATTAGGAAGCACTGGCATGGCAAGCCACACTAGCATTTTCCTGTTTCAGCTGCAAATTTTGAATTTTATATTGAATTTCCTGAAAAGCCCAAATTTAAAAGTTGTACGTAATACCGACTTCAGGCCCAGCTGCTCCCCTGAATCTGGTTCTGAATCCTGTCTCCCCTGGCCAGCCCAGGATATTTAGGTGTACTGGGCTCAGTGGGCTGACAGGTTCAGGTTCCCATCCTGGGCTGAGCTGCAACGTTTTTCTTCCTTTTTAGCTACTCTTGCCAGTTTGATGTTTTCAACCCTTTATTGGTAAACTGTTTAAAATACAGTATAAGGACTAATATATAGTGTTTACTGTGTTTATTTAGCTAGTGTGAGTCCATGTGAGGTTAGCAGATTAGCTGTCCTTACACACTAGCATTAGCTCTTCTCTGCCTGGACCGCGTTTGGAGTGTTCTCATTTGGGTAGCCTTGGATTTCCCCGGCCACCGGAAAACCGGACATATTTTCAGCTCTCTTCCCAATGCAGTCGGCCTGGAGCCGAACAGGTCCAACACTCACCACTGGCTGACTGGCCGGCTGTAATTCATGCCTACCATTAGGGGGAGGCTGCCAGACACAGAAAAGCAGGATGCAACATCAGACTCAAAGTCTCCAAAAGCAAGACAGCTCAGGCCACCTTTGTTTAATAAAAGACACTGCAAAGACACTTCTCTGTGCTTTGTGCTGAGCAGAGTGGAGTGGAGTCGATGCTAGCGTGTAAGTAGCATAAATAAACTAAATAAAATTCTTCTTGCAAAATTAAGGGGAAAAAAACTTAACCCTGTTTGAAATTGCTTCACACAAATTTCTTCTGTCTGTCATCAATCAACTGGAGTTTTAATTTTTTGCTTTTAATTATTGAGTGTGAATATCCTGTTTCAGTAAGATGTTTTATCGTCTCTAAGAGTAAACATGAATCCACATCCAAAAGGGCCAAAAGACTTCCACCCTTCAAATCGGTGTCTGCTGCTCTACATCTTGCACGTGCAGCGAGCGTGTTCTGTGCATGCTGAGCGCTTGCAGCCTGGTGAAGATTCAGCTCGCTGTAGAATCTTGTGTAAGATGGCCACTGATGCAGACAGAGTCCTTTATTAAGCCTTACCTCCGTGGCTCAGCGCGGCTCATTTGGCTCTGATTTGCCCTTTAAAAGGTAATTGGCTTTGTGTCCGGCTCAGCAGACAGAACCAAAACAGATTAGAGACCAGAGCAGAGCGGAGAAGGTCTGCAAACACACACACAGATGTAAAGCACACATACAGAACAAAACACACAACCCACATTGGTACCTGTCTCTGCAGCAGCAGGAATTTTCCTTTTATTAAGCAAAAGTGTCAGGTGTTGAAAAAAGAAAGTTGACAAAGTTGGGAAACAGATGTTAATGGAACTACATCGAGTAGGGTAAATAAGGACCGTTACAATGGATTGAACAATAAAGCAGATTACAGCTAATTCCAAGTATAATCTCGAAATGAGTTAATTGTACAATTTCATGTTTGACATATTAATAAATCTAAGTATGTTTGGAAAAATATACCTAAAATCAAGGCAAGGCAGCTTTATTTTCATATCACATTTCATACACAGCAGCAATTCAATGTGCTTTTCGTTAGCAAGATTAGCATAAATAGCATAACACAAATAAAATGCACAAATCAAAATTCTCAAATTTCAGATTTAAGAATCAGAAAAAAGACTAAGTTTAGGGGAGGCAGTTATAGATCAGAAGCAACAACTCAACAGCGTGCACACACACACACACGCATGCCCAATATAGTTTGTGCCCAATAGAGAGTGCGCACACACTCATGCGTGTGTGTGTTAAATGAGCCATATAAAAAAGAAAAGCAAGTAAACACGGCATTACAAATAAAGCGTCACTCTATATTGCAGCTCCTTTAAAGCAATCTCCTACCATCTTTATGCAGATGACATCCAACTGTACATCTCCTTTAAGCCCCATGAGATGTCTAAGCTGCAGCTGTTACACACCTGCTTAAACTCTATCAAACCCTGGATGGCTGGGAGCTTTCTTCAGCTGAATGAAGATAAGACTGAAATCCTCATCTGTGCCCCAGACAAGCTGGTTCCCAAAGTCAGAGACTCTCTTGGTCAGCTTGCTTCTCACACCAAACCTTCTGTCAGGAATCTTGGCATGACCTTTGACCCAGCCCTCACCCTGGATTCTCATATCAGTTCTCTTGTTCGCTCTTCCTTCTTCCATCTCAGGAACATTGCAAAGCTGAGTCCCATTCTGTCTCGGTCTGAACTTGAGACAGTTCTCCACACCTTCATCTCCTCATGCTTGGACTACTGTAACTTTCTTTTCACGTGTCTGAACAGAACCTCCCGGAACCGTCTACAGGTGGTTCAGAATGCCTGTGCTCGGCTTCTGACCAAGTCCTCCAAACACACCCACATCACCCTGCTTCTCCTCCAGCTTCACTGGCTGCCAGTCAACTTCAGGGTTCATTTCAAGATCCTGGTTCTGGTCTATAGGGCCTTACATGGACAAGCACCATCTTACATTGGTGATCTTCTTAGTCCCTACACCCCCAGCAGGTCCCTGAGGTCCAGTGATCAAAGCCTACTGGTTGTGCAGCACCAGGCTAAAGACCAAAGGTGACAGATCATTTGCTGCTGTGGCCCCCAGACTCTGGAACTCTCTCCCCCTGAGCCTGAGATCAGCGGACTCAGTGGACTCCTTCAAAAAGCAGCTGAAACTCACCTGTTCAGACTTTGGTGTAACCTTCATCACCCTCTCCTTATTATTCACTTTCTACCTAATCCGCCGATTTCCCTCAGAGAAGTAAACGTTTGGTTTTCCTTGATCATTTTTGCTCTTTTTAAACAGATTTGGCAGATTTTTTAGCAAGAGATAAGTAATTCTTTCAGAAATTGAAAAATATTAAATAAATTAGTGTTTTAAATAATCCACTTTAATGTCTAAGTTTTCAACAAAAGGTCAAAAGTGTTTTTGTTTTTCTCATCCTTCAGCCTGCCCATGGATGTGGGACAACTTGACCTGCTGGCAGGCGGCTAATGTTGGTGAGGTTGTGATGGTCAGTTGTCCAGAGCTCTTTCACGACTTCATGATCCCTGAAGAAGGTGGGCGATAACACCAGATCTAGTACAGTAAGAAATATTTAGATTTTTGCTCAAGCGTGTTTTTTAAATTTCTTTCAGAGATAGGAAAGGTCAGCAGAAACTGTACCGAGTACGGCTGGTCTGAGCCTTATCCTCACTACGTGGACATCTGCGTTCTCGATGACAACACAACAAAACCAGTACAGTCCCTTCAGCTCACCCAAATAGTGACATGTTATTTATTTTCATGACATATTCATGTGTCTTCAACTTTAGGACATGTATTTTGCGTCTGTGAAAGCCCTTTACACAGTCGGGTACAGTACCTCGCTGGTGTCGCTGACCACAGCTATGGCCATTCTCTGCAGATTCAGGTGAGTTTATCCCAGTTCTGCTACATAATGCACAAGAAGGTTTTACAAAAACTAAATTGCATGCATTTCTTAAATTAACATACATAAACACAGATTAGGCCTGTGCAAAAAATAAATTAATTTAAAAAGAACAATTAACGCAAAATTCGCCTTTTACATCCTTTGGAGGAGCTTCTCAGCCTACAGCAGCCTGAGCGGGGATGGGTGGGTGTGGCCAACTCCAGCTTGTTTTCTTAAAGTGACAGAGCTCTGAAACGACTCATTCTGGAAGACACTGAAAATGTCAAGAATAACACAGCTGAAATCCCTTCAGGTGGTTGGGAATTTATGGAGAGAACTTCATAAACATGTTTTGACCACATCTCTGTTAAACTCGAGAAACGTTAAATATACAATTTAAAGAGTATCTTGCTGCCCATAATGAACTGCACAACAAACCTGCCTGTTTACGACCAGATATGTTTATTCTATAAAAATGTAATTGCTAATTGTGTCTGGATAGCAGTTAAAATAGTTATTGACATGTATTCTGCACCAGAAAACCTTTCCAGACAGTAAATGTTTTAATTTAGCTTGAAAGAGTAAAATGCGCTCTCATAGCATCACCATGTGCTTCGCTGGAGATTACCTAACTTATTTTAATCCATGCATAAAATGCAGCAAGTGATAAAAACCCAAACACTTTAAACAAAACAAAAATATGCACATGATTTCTCCTTATACTAGAATGACAGACAAATACACTCCGGTTTTTGTGAATTTCCCCACCTCCAAAACAGGTCTGTAAAAAAAAGAGGAATTCTGATGTAGCAGGTATACTCCTCAGAACAGCAAAACGCTTGTTAAATGAGCTTCCGATTGGTGTACAATACCCAACTGCACTTGAATACGGAACAAAAGCAGCCAACATGTTCAAACAAACAAACAAAATTCAAATTAAATGTTTATTTATGCAGAATTTGAAGCACAAATCCACCAATTCTGGTAAAATAAAAGGGTGAAAAGTACTTTTTCAGATTCTCTGAAAGATCCTTTCAATATTTAGAAAATGTTCAGCAGGCAACGGATGTCTCAAGGTAACTTATTACATTTTAGGAATTAATTTTATTCATTTGTAATAGTTTTATCCTGCAGGTCTTTGTAAAAGCAAGCCAAAGTTGAGTTGATTTATCCTCTATCTCTCCAGGAAGCTCCACTGCACCAGGAACTTCATTCACATGAATCTGTTCGTGTCCTTCATCCTGAGAGCCATCTCCGTCTTCATCAAGGACAGCGTGCTGTACGCTCAGGAAGACAGCGACCACTGCTTCGTACACACAGTCAGTGACCACAATTAATGATGGTCTGTACTGTGTGGGCTAGCAGAGACCATAACACACACTCTGTGTGTGGCTTTCATCACAGGGAAGACAAAACGGCTGCGCTTGTTTGCTTTGAAATGAAAAACTCACAAGGTTAATTATTTCAATCATTTTAATTTGAAGCAGATAAGTGCTCAGTCTGGGTTTTCATTATTCCAAATGATCCTTACTCCAACAAAATTATTGCTCATGAGAATAGGCAAAGGAAATCTGGCAGTAGATGGTGCAGTTACGCGTTTCGTGTGCAGATGAAGACTTTTCTCTGGGCCAGACGCGAGCGGGAACAGCAAAGAGAATGTGTTTCCTCTTTGATTGTTACCTCTGAAGAAACTTCAGTGAGATGCAATTACTCCCAAAAATCAAACAAACACTATTAGGACGGTAAAAGCACCTTGATTACACTTGAAGAGCCAGCTTCTAGCCTTTGACTTCTAACAACATAGTTCACTATTGTTGGGCAGAGCTAATTCGCGCCACTGGTCTCTTCAGCCAGGCCAGTTGGATATTCTACTAGAGGCACATTAACATATCAATGGCTACTTTGTTCTTGTTTGACTAAGTCCACTGACTTTCCTCTGTTGCCATGGTGATCTCAGGTCATCATCATAGTGGTGCTCTGACTCAGTTGAAGCCACCTGGTTTGTGTTTCGCGTGACATAGTTTGGTTAGTTCTGCTGATAATTAGTAAAATACATTTAGGGCTTGCCCCACTCGTAGATATTTAGCTGCGGCTCTTTCCCTTGCGGCCTCACTGAGCTTGCCATTTGCTTGTGGGATACCAAGGTACTTGTAGCTGTCTTCAGTATCCGCTATTGTTCCTTCTGGGAGTGAGACTACCTTCCCTTTCTTTAGTGCATTTCTACCGACCTTCTGGCGGGGAGGGTCGACTCGTTAATGTCCCCATTGCAAAACTGGTCCAGACAACCTACTCGGATCATGCACGGGACTTTTATGTCCCCTTCTGTTGTAGGTCCAGAAATTTCTGGAGCGGTATGGCTGGGGCGGAGCAACAACACATTCCAATGATAGGGGGGCAGAAATACGTCAGCAATAAGCAGAGTTAACAGTAAATATGAAAGGAATTTCTTTCTAATGCTTTCATACGTGTTAAAAGGTATTTCTCATTTCTCCTGTTGAGTGTAAAACCTGGTGGGAGATCCTATCCATGACCTGTCTTTGACACGATGATGGAACCAGAAAAATATTAAATAATTTTTAAAAAAGGATGGCGTTGCTGAAAGGTTATTCTAAATTTTAAAGAAAGATTAGTCTCAAATGAGTCCGTGCTCCTTTGTGTTACTGTTGTGTGCACTTAAAGAGCTTTTAAGACATTTGAAGTGTCTTTGTAGAAATTCAAAATTATTACTGTCTTATAAAAAGCTTCTTAAATGGCCTAAGTTTAGAGAAATAGATATAGGACTGATGAAGTCCTGTCAAAATAAAAGTTGTTTTAAACCAGCTTCAATCTGTACAATTTCATTACAATTCATGTGACATTTGTTTAAAAATAAAGTTACATCTCCGCATTTGACCCATCCACGTGGGCAAGGGCACAGATAGGATTTTCAAACTGGGGGGACAAAGTTCCAATGTACCCTCCCCCAAACAAACACACACACACACACACACACGCACATACACAAACAATTGCAAGAGCCTTAACTAGAGCTCAATAAGTTTGTGTAATTTCATCCAATGGTTTACAAAAAAACAAACACTTTTATATACGTGTTTGAAGCCATTATGCAATGGAACGCTGGCGACAAAGCTCTGCCTGATCAGCACTATCCAATTCAGTCATTTGTTATTCTCCCAATCAACTACTAACCAAAACCTCATGCTTTATGCAAAACATGTTTTATTTAAACATTAACTGATTTTCAGCACACCAATCTTTTAGGGCTGGGCAATAAATCGAAAACGTATCGTTATCAAAATTTCTGAACCTTATCGAGATAATTTTTCTCATGTCAATAAATCAGATAATAAATAAATTAATAGATGTATGTAGGTTGGCAACGTTCGTGTCTCTTTAAGAAGCTGTGCCACCTTGACGTAATACATGTGACAGCCGCATCTAGTGGACAACTTTTGTTTCTGCGCATACCTGTAGTTATCGTCCATTTATCGTTATCGAGATGAAATCCTCAATATATCGTGATATTGATTTTAGGCCATATCACTCAGCCCTACAATCTTTACAGAAAACATAAAAAGCCCTATGTAAAAAAAAACTGCACATAAGATATAATAAAAAAACAATATTCACTTATCACTTAGCAGTGGTTCCCAAACTTTTCAGCCTCTGACCAACAGATGTTCCTTCTCATGTTTATGTTATTTAGATATTTTCATTATATTTGGAAAGTTTAAATTTATATATACATAAATAAAGCTCTTTTACAGCTTTTTTTTACATTGTCGCTACGTCTGTCACGTTAGCGGTGTTTATACCACCATTTCTACATCCATCACGTCCCAAAGAAGGTTAAACAAACATCAAACCCAACTTTTGGAGCTTGTAAACTCCACACACTCTCGTGCAGCACCAGCTGTCTGATGCTGCAGCGGTGTCCATCTTCCCGGCTGGATGAGTGAATTTCTTCGAGTCAATATTCTGCTTCATAATCGGAGTCAGTCATCACCAGACAAAGTGATCAGTCAACAAAGACCAGACCTGCTGGCAATTGTAAGTTGCATCCCGATAATATTTTCCCTCTTCATGCCGCGCGTCTCCTCCTCTCCCCGACTGGGAGCCTCTCGGCGGGAGGCGTTTTCCAAACTCTGAACTCCCAAATTTTGCTCAGCCTGAAGATTACACATCTCCACTATCTTCTAGTGTAAAGTAGTAACTTCATGAGGGATCATATTTGTAGATGAGACTTGTTAAAGTCAGCAATGACACTTGTCTCAATATTGCAACTTTGGCGCTTGTAACAAGTCCC